GAGGTTGTTGATATTTCTTCCAGCAATCTTAATTCCAGTTTGGGATTCCTCCAGTCCAGCCTTTCACATGATGTATTCTGCATATAAGTTAAATAAGCAGGGAGACAATATACAGCCTTGTCGTACCCCTTTCCCAATTTTGAATCAATCAGTTGTTGCATATCCAGTTCTAACTGTTGCTTCCTGTCCCACGTATATTTCTCAGGAGATAGATAAGGTGGTCAGGCATGCCCATTCTTTAAGGACTTGACATTAGTTTGCTGTGGTCCACACAGTCAAAGGCTTCTGCATAGTCAGTGAAGCAGAAGTAGATGTTTTTCTGGAACTCTCTGGCTTTTTCCATAATCCAGCGCATGTTAGCAATTTCGTCTCTAGTTCCTCTGCCTCTTCGGAATCCAGCTTGTACTTCTGGGAGTTCTCGGTCCACATACTGCTCAAGTTTAACTTGTAGGATTGTGAGCATAACCTTGCTAGCATGTGAAATGAATGCAATTGTACAGTAGAATGCAATTGTACAAACCCACATGCAGAGAATGATAAATTAGGAATACTATCATCATCATCGTCATCATCACCACCACCTTAAAATGCTGAACTGGAACGGACCCTGTGAATCACTGAGTCCAGCACCTGTCAAGATAACACAGTGGGGAATCAAACTCCCTACCTGTGGTTGTTTACGCTGGAACAATAATGGCTGGAATTCTTAATACAGAGACTAAGGAATATGTGTCTACTTAATTCTGTGACTAACTTCTGAATAAGAATAAGAATTGTGCAGTATGAGAAAAAGCATTATCCGTTATGTACTGAATCCAATAATAGCTGTGAATAACTAGAAGTGTATTTAAATAAAGAGAGGTGAAGTGGAAGAGAAGAATTCTAGCGCAACTTTCTATCTACTGTTTTTTTCCCCTGCAGAGTTTTTTTTATGTGAAAAACCCATGACGTGTTCCATCAGTACCACTGAATAACCCAACTTATGAGAAAAAGCATTATCCGTTATGTACTGAATCCAATAATAGCTGTGAATAACTAGAAGTGTATTTAAATAAAGAGAGGTGAAGTGGAAGAGAAGAATTCTAGCGCAACTTTCTATCTACTGTTTTTTTCCCCTGCAGAGTTTTTTTTATGTGAAAAACCCATGACGTGTTCCATCAGTACCACTGAATAACCCAACTCTATCATTCCAAAGAGAAGTGAAGTGGAAGAGAAGAATTCTAGCGGAACTTTCTACTGTTTTTTCCCCTGCAGAGTTTTTTTTTATGTGAAAAACCCATGACGTATTCCATCAGTACCACTGAATAACCCAACTCTATCATTCCACTTTCTTTGAATATGTAGATAATCTCACGGAGCTGTTACAGCAGTCACATTGGTTGCCGATCCATTTCTGGATGGCTTGACTTCAAGCTATCTCAAAGTTAGCATCTCTCTTCATAAGCCTGCCTGGGTATTAATATCTTCAGAAGCGATCTTTCTCTTGGTTCCACCACCCTCACAGACATGTTTTGTAGGGACATGAGAGATGGCCTTCTCTGGTCCTGTTTCCAGATTCTGGAACTCCCTTATACAGAAGGCTAAACTGGCCCCATCTTTGTTGTCCTTCGGCAAGCAGACAAAGACCTGTCTCTTCACGCAGGCTTTCGTTTAAATGACTAGATGACCAAGGGAATTTTTAAAAGGAATTATTTTATTCTGTTGCTTTACTTTTGCTTTCAACATTGCTTTTATATATGAGTTTTCATAGGATATCTGCTTAATTCTTTTTTAATATTGTAATAATTTATTATTTTCACTTTTAACTTTGTTTCTTTTAATACTGTAAACCACCTTGTATCATTCAGGAAAAGGTGCCATATAAATATTTTAAATAAATAAATAGACACGTCAGGGTCTGAATATCATTTTTGTTGGATTGGCAAAGGCCATTGTTTATGCAGCTACTTTTAACATATACAGTACTGTAAGAATAGCAGGGCTTAAATGCTATTTGCCTTATAATGGTCCACCATGGATTTAAAACATTATTGTCTCCTCTGTTATTGCTGATGAAATAGTGAATAATTTCTAAGAAAAAAACTCTGGGGGTAACGCTTTTCTAAATCATAGAACCCTATTCCCTCCCCCTCAACCTCAGAAGTGTGCAAAAGGCAGTAAGTAAAAGTTTCTCCTCTGCAGTATACCTCCTCAGAGGCACTTCAACTTATCACTATTAACCCATACATTTAAAGCAGCAAACATTATAATATTAAAAGCATGTTCAGTTACTGAACATAGTTTTCTCCCAGCAACAGTAGTGGTCAGAATGCAGGAATCCAGTTTCAAGTCTCCAATGAGTCACTGAGTAACCCTAGGCAGTCCTTTGGGGAATGCAGACAGGGGTTATGAAGCACTTTCCCCCCCCCCAAACTAAGTGAATTCATTTCAGTAGTTGCATCCAATCCTATTTCTCTGACCATTCTGCACCTCTGTGTAAATTACCCCTACCGCTGGTCCACACGACATTCCATCACCCGTTTCACCCACAGAAGCATGTCCTTTGTCATACCTCTAGCTGACCTTTTCAGTGCCAAAATCAACTGACAAAACACTTCTGCACTGTTGCATGGATAATGGTGGGGGAGGAGGGGCAGGAAGCGATGGGAAACAGCCATGGGAACACATGCATTGACACAGTCTTATTTCCCTCAGCTTTTCCTCACAACTCAAGTCCAATCTGGGCAAAGGTATCATCCACCCAAAATGAAAGATTTTTTTTATATACACATGTCACCATTAGAATTTGAGACTTAGCTAAGTTAAAAAACATTTTAGACAGTAGATTTTGTGATTTGGATTAACTTTTGGTTAACTTCCTCTTTTTAACATCTGCTGTAGTGGTTAATTTCCGGCATTTGGATCAGAAGCTTCCACTTTGTAAAAGAGGTCAAACAATACATTTTATGTCCCTGTTATTAATACATTTCTTCATTAATATGGTTAATAAAAATTATTTTCGAGCATGGGAACAGGTGGAAAGGATGAGACCTTACTGGTGACTGGAAATCCAATTACAAGAAATGTGAGGACCAAGAAGAGTGACAGGGAAGAGAGGTGTTATAAATTAGGGGTACACTCCCAATCTTGTTGTCACACCATACACCACCACAACCCCAGGATGACACACCCATCTGTGCAGTAAAACAAAATGATTTGAGTGTTTGCACAGAGAAATGTAGACTGAAACATCCCAGAAAAGTTTTGCAGGCTCTTTGGGGGAATATGAAGGAGTACAGTCCCACTGAAGGCATTCCTGTTATTTAGCGTAAGACTAGATTCAGTTTTCAAACAACAAACAGTACACAGAGCACAGATAGAGTTCTGATTCCTGTCCTCTGAAGATGTTGGCCTCAGAGACTGGTGAAACGTTAGGAAGAAAAACCTTAAGAACACAGCCAAACCCACCCTGGAAAACCCACAACCACCACTGGATCCTGGCCTTTTCTGCTTCTTGGGCTAATTTTGGGAATGGGGAGGGGGCTATCATGGAGAGAATAGCTGTCAGATATAGTTTTCTCATGTGAATAGTACAGCATTTTAGAGAAGGAAAGCATTCTCACACTTTTAAGACTTTTTAAAAAATGGATGGACAAAATACAGCTCGGAGCTTAAGCATTCAAATGGATTTTTTCTGTTGAACATAACAACAGCAAACAGGGTTAAAATTATGGGTCTGTTCTAATGGTATAACTATATATTACTAATGAAATGTTTCTGGAATGCTTGTGAAATAATATTGCCACGTCACATTATGAACCATTGTACACTGCACATATCCACAAATAAATTGTGCTTTTTCCTGCAGTATCACGAAAGAGCCCAAGAAGCCATCTGGAAGCATTACAAATCAGTCAGTACAAGCATAGTTCTTATCTTGGGAAACCCTACGTGACAGGCTCAAATGTACAAAGACTACACTTAGTATGTTTCCAGCTTAGTCATAACTGCATCTATCTTGGCTACAAAGATGCTTTTAAGTTGATTCATTGGCTGCATCTCTATCTGTGGAAAACAGACCACACTACAACATTTCATGCTCCAGATATATCAGGATTACACTACTGTACTTGTATGGCTGTCTTCATAATCAGTTCAGAATTTTCAGTCTGTACATAATGCAAGACACTCAAGTTGCTTGCTGGGACTAGGTGAGATAATTTAACTCCGCTTCTGTACCATCGACAGTGTATGATTCTACACTCATCAACAATAAATTTCCAGGTCCAATTCTGCAGCTAGTGGTCACTTTTAAAGCCCTAAATACCTGTACACATGGGCCCAGTAATAATATCTAGCAGTATGGCAAACACAGGATCTTTTCTATAATTTCCTCTCTTTTTTTGGTTAATTTCTGCTACTCTCCAAGTATTTCAAAATTGTAAATCTCATTTACATTGACTTTACTGTACAATAAAGAAATAAACAAGGCACAGAGAAGAAACGCTCATCACAGGTCCTGGCTAATGAATGCCCTGTGACACATGTTCAGCCATGTGGCACAGGATGCCATATGGATGCCTAAGTGACAATGGAAATGCTTATCAGGTATGAAATAGCCTTCTCATAGTAACTAACTGAATACTGTGGAAATGCATATTTATTCATTCATAACTATTTTCATGCATGAAGGAGAGACAAAGGAGCTGAAAGATATTATACAATCATGTTAAAACAAGAAAACATATTAGGTAGCCTTGTGCCCGTAAAACCAAAAGTAAAATCTTGCAGCACCTTAAAGATGAACATACATATCGTCTTTAAGGTACCACCTTGGGGAGGGGTGGAGTTGGCGTAACAAACTCACACAACTAACCTGGAAATTAGTAGCAGAAATAATAAACTGACAAATAACAGAAATAATAAACAGCTCTGCCAGGGCACTTCTGGACTCGGCCAACAATTATTGAAGCCCGCCCCATAAAAGCAAAACATACACACGAGAAAGAGAGAGAGAGAGAGAGAGAGAGAGACCTAACTACTAACTGTATGAAAAAAAAATGATTTCTTGGAATGGTTTTGAAAGACAGATTTGAATTCCAACTCCTTTTCTTCTTCCAGATCACAGAAGCTTGGCTTTTAAGAGCTGTATCCTAAAGAGAAGGAAAGTGAAATATGCACCACATGAACTGCATGGGCTAATTGAATTCGGCACTCTCTATTTATTATAACAGGCCACACAGCCTTTCAGAGGCTCCTCACAGGGCAGCCTCCCCATAAGCCCAGCCATCCTTCCTCGCTGCAGAAGGCAGGTACTGTATGTCTAATCTCTCGGCATGCCCACGCCAGCGGGGGGGGGGGTCTCGGTGCCCAGTTCCAAAACCTATCAACCCGTTGGGAGCATGCTTTCTATACCAGGGCAGACCTGCAAAGCGCACAGACACACACACACACACATAAAGGCTGTCGAAACCATGGTGTCGCCTGACCATGTGCAGATGGCCTTGCAGATACTCAGCTGGGAGGGCAAGGGTATGATGAGACGCCTTGGGTGTGGCCGCGACTTCCAGGAAGGCACGGGGAGTGCCCGTCGCTTTCCCCTCAATGCCTTTCCCTTCCCGAAAGAGGGAAGAACGGCCTAGGAACAAAATACTCAAAGGACAAGGCGAGGAGGGGAGGCATAACTGCTCGCCCCCACCCCGCGCCAAAAGGAAAGGCGTTTCTTACCCGCCACATTTAAGCGGCCGCCTAGGAACCACCGGACGCGGCCCTGCGCGAAATCCCACTCGCAGTCTGTGTGGTGCGGGGTGTCCCACAGCAACTCCGCCCGGGCCAGCGCCCCCCAGAAAGGGCCGGGTTCCCTCACGGCCCGCTCACACAGCTCCCGGTAGTCTCCCCTCAGGGAAGAAGGGGCGCCCGCTGGAGGGCAGGACCTGCCGCTGCTGGACGAGAGGCGGACGGACCAGGGGCACCCCCAATCCAGCCTCGGCCAGCTCCGGCTCCATAGCCTCTTGGGCTGCCGCCTCAGGGAGCCCAACAGGTGGTTCGAGACCGCCGCCGCCGCCGCCACGGTGGCTGTTGAAATAAGGTCGTCGCGAGAGGGAAAAAAAGTGTGTGGGGGGAAGGCAGGCGACTTGACGCCACCTCCGCCTGCGGACGAGGAAGTATCTCTTTTTTTGCCTCGACAACCGTTTAAAGAAAGAAAGGCCGCCCTGAGGGGCCCCTCAGCCCGCCTTTCCCGCCCTTTTCTCCTCCCCGGAGTTGCGAAAGAGTTTACGTTGCTGATAAAAAGTTAGCAGAATGACTTTGAGGGGAAAGGAGCGAGACGTTTCCCTCAAACCTGTGCCTAAAGGAAAGTCAGAATCCCATGAGTAGGTAAACCCAACTGAATAAATGCGACAGGACATCCCTAAAAAGGCCCAAGATTACCATCTTCATGCTTTACTGGGCGACTTTGGGCCCGTGGCGAGTCTCTCACAAGGTGGTTCTGAGGAGAAAGTGGGGAGGAGACGAGCTACGAAGGCCACTTTGACTTGACTGGACCATGATCCTCATCCGCTGTCAACTCAGTTCCCACTTATGGCAACCCTTTCCAGGGGTTCCCAGGTAGAGAATACATTCATACTCTTCCCTTCTTTTGGGGACATGCTGGGACTATGCAGCTTGCCTGAAGGCTATACAGGCTGGCTCTTGCGGGATGCATTAATTAATTAATTACTTTATATACTCCAAAGGACTATTCTGGGTGGTTTACCTCCAAATAAAAACCAAACCAAACAAGCAATGGACATTAAAGTATAATGCAAATAGTAGTGACAGAATATAAACATAAAAGGAAATGGCACCAACGGATCTTCACAATAAAGTGGATCAGATGAGAAGCACTCCGCTGATATCAGATTGAAAAGTCTCCCTAAAGTGTAGTGTTTTAATGAATACAGGGAGGGGGCCAGGCATAGTTCCTCCAGGAGCTAGCACAGTGCAAGCTCTGAAGTAGTACTAAAGATAGGGTAACAATGTAACAAATATTTCACAAACAAGTGACTGAGGAACCATTTTGTTGCAGATGAGGTCACAAGAAGAGCCATGCTGGATTAGATCACTAGTCCATCATTTTGTTTCCAAAGTGGCCACAGATGCCTACAAGTGAGACATGGTCATCTTCCTACTCAATAGTAGGCATCCTTCAGTCACCAGAGACTATGGTAATGTGCTCCGAATAGAGGTCTTGGAACAGCATCTAGTGTGGCTGAGAAGGCCAATTCAAGAGTGACAATCCCTTCCACTCCGAAGACAAATACAAGCTGTCCCCTGTACAGCTCCCTGATTTTGCTGCCTCTTTGCCTTGGCTTGCTGGACAAGTGTCTCTTCAAATTGGGTGAGGCCATGCTGCACCACCTGCCTTTAGGCTGAATGCTCAAATGTCAAGGCTTCCCATCTATTGAGGTCCATTCCTAAGGCCTTCAGATCCTCCTTGCAGATATCCTTGTATTGCAGCTGTGGTCTCCCTTTGGGGTGCTTTCCCTGCACTAATTCTCCATACAGGAGATCTTTTGGAATCCGACCTTCAGCCATTCTCACGACAAGCCCAAGGCAACATAGACATCGTTGTTTCAGTAATGTATACATGCTAAAAATTCCAGCTCTTTCTAGGACTAAACTATTTGGAACTTTGTCCTGCCAGGTGATAACAAAATGTGACAACTCTGTGGTGAGTAGAATTTCCAGAAATTGAGGATATTGTAAAATTGGCAGATTGTCTTGGACCCACAATTAGTACTGCTAACCATGTTATTCAATAACAATTGCAATTTCTTATTTAGAGTCCTGGACTCTTGCTACAGGCAAGGGAGTCTTGAAACTGTGCAACTGGACAACACGATTGCTCTCTTAATAAATGGCATGGTTGAGTTGTACAGAGGACAGTGCTTGCTGAGAAGCTAAAAGCCATGCATCTGAAGAAGTGGTATGTAGTCAGAAAAATTCATACATTGAAATAAATGTCTCAATCTTAAAGGTGTAAAAAACTTTTGTTTTAATATCTTGGTGTTCCAAGTTCGTTTTGCTGCAGCAGCCTAATACCCATCACTCTTGCAAATTCCTTTCAATAATTTTGTTCCAATCCAAAGTCTTTAAAAGCTAATTTTGAACTGAATATGAAAAAGTACTGATTATCAGTGCAAAATCAGTATTGAACCTACCAGCATTCCATATAAAGTGCAAATATTCTTCTATAGCGCCATAATAAATGCATTGTGCATTTGGAACAAAAAAAATCATCTGGAAATTGGTGATTCATCATTCATCATCATCATAATCACTAATAGCATTTGCATTAATATTGTTAGCAATTGTCCTGTGTTTTTTTTCTTCCTGCCAGTGGAAAATAATTGAACAGTGCCATCTTCTGTTCACTCACTGTCCATATGGCATGTATTAGAAGCAGTTGACACTTAATTGTGGTGCTGGATGAAACTCTTGAGAATCCCCTGGACTGCAAAGAGAACAAACCTATCCGTTTTGAAAGCAATCAGCCCTGAGTGCTCACTGGAAGGACAGATCCTGAAGCTGAGGCTCCAATACTTTGGCCATCTCATGTGAAGAGAAGACTCCCTGGAAAAGACCCTGATGTTGGGAAAGTGTGAAGGCAAGAGGAGAAGGGGACGACAGAGGACGAGATGGCTGAACAGTGTCACTGAAGCTACCAAAATGAATTTGACCCAACTCTGGGAGGCAGTGGAAGACGAGGGCCTGGCATACTCTTGTTCATGGGATCATGAAGAGTCAGACATGAATTAATGACTAAACAACAACAACAATTGTAGGACCATTTTGGGGGTAATTAATTCAAGTGATGTGATGGCACGGAAGAACAATGATAATTACTGTTACTAAAGTTTTGCTACTGCCATTCAACAAAAAGACAGAGGCAAACAAGTATGTGAGGTATTTACGGGGTGGTTTTACCAGTTCCACTCCTCCACTGAGTTTCCATGGACAAGTGGGGATTTGAACCCTGTTCTTCAGAGTCCCAGTCTGTCACTCTGTCCCCTATTTATTTATTTATTTATTTATTTGATCGTTCGTTTATTCATTCATTCATTCAGTTTCTACACTACCCCTCTGGCTACTGGGCCACTCTGGGCAGTTTACATGTTAGACAAATAAAACATACATTATACCAACAACGAACATAATAATACACAATCAAAATAAAGATAAAACAACCAACAATTTAAATACAGTAAAATAGTTAAATAATATAAAATAATGTAATATAGAGCAAGGCAACAGGATTATAGTATAACTGTTGAGACCACTCACTGTAATTAGGTGTTGTAGTTAAAATGTTGTAAGGTCTGGAAAGGCCTGCCAGAAAAGCCACATTTTTAACAGTTGCTTAAAAATTCCCAGTGAAGGGGCCGGGTGGATTTTGGGTGGGAGCTTGTTCCAGACTCCAGAGCTAAGGAGCAACTTCCGAGAAGGCCCAGTTTCTGGATAGTATAACTGTTGAGACCGCTCACTGTAATTAGGTGTTGTAGTTAAAATGTTGTAAGGTCTGGAAAGGCCTGCCAGAAAAGCCACATTTTTAACAGTTGCTTAAAAATTCCCAGTGAAGGGGCCGGGTGGATTTTGGGTGGGAGCTTGTTCCAGACTCCAGAGCTAAGGAGCAACTTCCGAGAAGGCCCAGTTTCTGGTCTCTCTTTCCGGAACTGTCTTCAGATCAAAATGGGATGGACAGATCTCGTCGGGAGGAGGTCTTCTGTCAGGTATCAAGGCTCTAAATATTTATAGGTTAACACCATCACCCTGAAGGTGGCATAGAAACAGATGGGTAACCACTGCAAGGTAGCCAGGATGGGAAAAATGTGCTGATGTTTTCTTAATCCCACAGTCTGATGTTTCTTAACACCACAATCTGGCCCCCTGTGTAGTAGTACGTATATGTGAATTCTGAGCAAAGGTTGGACAAGTTGATTTTTTAAATTACAACTATGAGAATCTCTTGGTAGCATGAATACTGAAGTGGGATCCTCACCCCAGTTTCTGAAGAAAACTAGGTTGGAAACCAAAGAAATAAATAAGGACTAATGAGATTACATAGAATCTATTTCATGATACTGTCCAATATCAGAGATGTCTGTGACCAACTACAACAAATACTTTGAACTTTTAGTATGAGTTTTCCCCAAAATACTTTAAGAAAAACCCCTTTAAGAAAATACTTTAAGAAAAATCTACTGCAACTACATATCTGCTCATTCATTCATTCAGTCATTCTATTTATACCCTCCTTTTTTTAAAAAATGAGTGAATTAATAAATAGAAATGCTCACGGTGACTATGAATTTATAAATGAATTAAGCTTCTTCCTCTGATGGTGCAATTCTCTGTTCCTGTTTATGCTCTTGTAGCTTCCTTTGCCAAACTGAAAGAGTTTTCTTGCATATAACTTGTTTCCTTTGTTGTTGTTACAATATTGCCAAATACATCTAAAAATATAGTTAAGTGATAGACAACCCTGAAAATTGGTTTGTGTTTGGATGAGAAGTGGTTAACTGATTAAAATAGGAGTCAGCTTCTGGAATTTTTCTCTTGCTTGGTGTCACTTTGTGCATGATAGTGAACACAAGAGATTATTTCCCAAATCTGGCACAGAGTGAGAGCACACTGTCTGCTACATCGGTGGCAAATTTGGTGCTGATCAGAAATCCAGTTTCAAAGTTCTTATTTTTTGTTTGAGTTGTCCTCATTTTTAGAATTGCCTTGTAGAATGTTGATTTGCTCTTCCAACACAAGTCTCTTGCTGCACTCGAGTGCAGCAGTAATGTCCCAAGTCAAGGACCATAGAACACAAAGTAAATGGCACACCAAATCAAGATGATCAATAGACAGAGACAACTAGGCCAACGAAATAAAGTAGCAGGACTTTAATTTACAGTTAGCTCCCTGTCATGAATCCACACATTATAGGCAGCATCCTCACTCTGCACAATGGCAGAGTTGGTCCTGAATCTTGAACCCTGAACTGATACCATTGTTTTGAATTAGCACATTATATGCTGCACTCTCCTTCATCTCTCTTGTTTCTAAATAATTTGCATAGAATTTTGCAGAGCTAACTCACTGAGTTAGGTATCTGGCTGCAAAGCCAAAGATTGGGACTTAAATTCCCCACTGTGATTTCCAGGAGAAGCAGCAGCCCGTGTAACCTTGGGTAAACTGCACAATCCCAAAACATCCCCGAAGAAGACAGTGGTAAATCACTTCTCAGTACTCT